TACCAGATGTAAGTCCATTCTTCGTCTCAATGCTCCTTATAATGAAATGAACAAAATGCTAAGAGGCAGGTATACGAACAGAATTTACAAAAAAGCAACTAACAGGTAAAACATCTTAATAACATCGTTGACCTTGTATAATGCACACGATAACTTGTTTCATAAAATATTTCCGCTATGATCTAAAAAATCATTGAATACATTTGTTACCTATTTAAAGCTAATCGAAACACACTTCAATTAACACCATTGTTTATTCTGCTTTGTTTGTTATTTCCACTCGTTATTCCATTCATATTAATCCTTCTCTATTGTATATTCATTCTAAATTATTTTTTCTATCTTTATCCCAATCAGACCAGAAAAATGCTTTATTAAATCATTCATTTTACAACTGGCGACTTTTACACATTTTCATGGAGTTGATGAAGTAAAATATAAATATATAAATGCTTCTAAAGCATGCACATCAGACTATTATAAATACAATTGTTAACAAGTTGACAATGGTACCCCATCGCCCAACCTGGATATCTGGAGGTCGGGTCTTTTGTTAACGTGATGTATTATGTGATAGCCTTGTGCAATAGCCTTTACTGGCGACTATCAAACGAATTCTGTGCAATTGTTAACTCTCATGTTAAGTTCAAACAAACTATCGCTTTATATGTATAGGTCAATGTCACATAAAGTATATTATTTGCCATGCCATCGATATAAATCGTGGTTAAGATTGAATAAAACCAGCCAAGTACGAGTCGGACTCGCGCACGAAGGGTTCCATACCATTATCTACAAAAACGGTAAAAAAACATGTCTGTTTGTATGGGAGCCTCACTTAAATATTTTTTTTATTCTGTTTTTTAGTATTTGTTATAGCGGCAAAAGAAATCATCTGTGAAAATTTCTACTGTCTAACTACCACGGTTCATAAGATGCAGAATGGTGACAGACAGTCAGACAAACACAGCGGAGTCTTAGTAATAGGGTCCCGTTTTACCCTTTGGGTATGAAACCCTAAAAACGATAGATCAAAGATCAGTGATTTCCGGAGTTATGCGTAATTTAAATTCGAAATTAACTTCGACTAATTTAGACTGACAGAACGAACTATTGGCAGTAAGAATAACATAAAATATTTTATAATTAATATATAAAACTGAATTCAAATAACATATTTCAAATTGAATCGTAAAAAAAAATAATAAACGCACAAAATAATCATGGCCCAGTTAAAGCGGGAAACCGAAAGCATTTGAGACGTTAAATAACCGCAGTTAAAATCGTTTCAGATATATTTATAGCAACTTTAACTCGAAAAACGTCAACTGGCACTGGTTACAGAATTGGAAACCCACGGCAGAAATAGCCTAAAGGAAACACAATCTGAAGACTTTCAGACACCGTCGTATTTAAAACCCGCAAAGACTTCCTTAAATATCTCAGTTATTTAGAAATTATTGCAGTAAGACTATTGCAGATTTATTTTATTAAGTAATTTATTAGACGACCCGAATGGCGTTGTGGGTACACTACCTGCCTCCTGTGCCAGATGGTGTGGGTTCGATCCCCACTACTGGAAAAATATTGTGTGATGAACATAGTGTTTTTCTAGTGTCTGGTTGTTTACATATGTATAACATGTATTTATTTACAAAAGAAAAGTATGTTTAAGTATGTATTGAGACTGCAGAATGTTGTGCAAAAATATGTCCTTAAAAAATATATTTAGTTTGAAAAACGATAGAAAAAGATAGATTGCCAGATTGCCCAGCCCAAAAGTTAAAATCGACAAAGATGAAAACATGTTTTTATAAACACCTTATAATTACCACTAAACACAAAACTAGAACGTAATGTGCCGTATCATGAGTATAAACTCAATTTGAGAAGGTAGCAATAAAAGAAAATTTGGAGGTTATAAGGCAACAATTCGATTGCGAATCGTACATTAAAGATACTACGCAATGATCGGGTGAAGCTACTTTCATTACCTAAACGAGGACGGTAAGGCCATCCTTGCTTTTACTTTTATCGTCGATCCTTTAACTAGGGTCCTTGAATGTAAAGTAAATTCTTTACTTTGATTCTTATCGACAAAGGCGATATCGGTATTGGTAATCCTATTTGTAAAATGGTCGATACAATGTCTTTAAACGACCGTCGAAATATGATGACCTCATTGTTTTTATTTAAATAACGATTATAAACTTGTGTTATAAGTGTCCCGACCTTATAGAAATTGTTTTGCTCGAAAGCATGTAGCGAGTGAACGGTGCTCAGTGGTAGTACCTCGTTGAGCAACTTAGTAATATGGATTCATTAAAATTAGTACAAAAAAGGAACGAAAAGTCTTTCGCCGCTGTGGGAATCGAACCCACGTCTTCGGGGCATTTATACATATACCAATAAAGCTTTCCTCGAATTCTTTTAAGGAATTTATTATTCAATAGGCCATGAACAAAATGGCTACGTCATACATATGATTTTCTCTTATGTGTTATCTCATTTTTTTTTTTATGTGAGAACGTGGGAAGTGAACTTGCTGTTCACTTCCCACGTTCGCTGATGTTAAATGATAAACTCCGCCCATTTTTGCCTCCTTTTAATAAAGGGGGATTTGAATACCTCGCTCACCAGACGAAAGGGAAAAGTATAACACTTCCACATCACACCGGCCTTCTGTGAGGTCATGGTACTTCCTCGGACGGACCTGCCCATTCATGAAACAGCGAAGACTGTTCCGTGGCCTACCACGTTCAAGAAGTTAACAATACAAAAAACTCAAAAATTTTCAGAGAACTTCAAAGAGAGAATTAAAGAGATAAAATAAATTAATTCAGCGACACGATTTTAAAACTGGGAATAAATATAATGTATTCTACCTAACAACACCACCGCCATTCGGAATTTCCATTAGTGGATTGAGAAATCTTCCTTAGGTTTATAAACAGAAACGTCGCAGTGTGGTTAGTGGTAATATTTAAGTCGGATTAAAATAATTCGTAAAGTTCATGGAATATCAGTAGTTACATCAAAAATACTGACGAGCTATTAAAACTTTCTGAGGACGAGATTCGACCTTTATTGGTCCTTTTCATTTTGGGTTACCTTTTGCATGGCTCTTTTTTTTTAAACTAGCTTAACGCTTTTCAATCATCTTACCTGTTTTCCTATGGTGTCCCTAAAAAGATAGATTGAGGTATTTAAAGCAATGCTTTTACAGAACTCGATTGGAGGGCTGTGATATTTTAGTAGGGCATCTTTTGAAATGCCTGTACAGTTTTATATAATGAAAATATTGAGAATAAAGTATTAAGACGCCAGTTTGCCATTAACACGTGCTCCGGCTTTTTTCATTTCCCATTGTACAATACTCGTCTACACATTGTCCTTTAATCATCCTTTAAAATATGACGTAATGCTTTAATAATAAGTAAATACACTGGTCTTGTGTTTGTCGTGATAGATATTTGAGCTTTCTTCTATAAAATATTCATAGGGATAGGGAGCTTGTAGAAAGGATACGTTTGATAGACCCTACGCAAAGTCATGTCCTAAGCAGAGTCACATTTGGATTATTATAATATCGCCCCTTTAAACGTCGACAAATCATGGGTACAAGTTATAACGTTGTTAAGGAAAAGGCTAGAAGTTTAAAATTGAGTTTGAAACGGGTTAAGTCGGAGCTTCCATCTCCGGCAGCGCCACTTAACGAGTAATGATTTACACAAAATTTGCAATACGCACCCGACATTTGCGGCTCATAAATATGCGGAGTCGCTAATCGCGTCAACGAAAATGTAACGACGAAAGTCATTACAGCTGTTGTGACTTCATTAATGTTTGGAATGGAAGATTAACGACAATAATCTTAAAACGCGTTATTAAAGTGAAGGAAGCTAAGACTGAGTTGCCTGTGTTATATTATTTACTAAAACCTGGCTTGTGGTTCGCGGGATATAGTATGTACAGAAAATACTCAAATTCAAAAAACAAGAAAATTCATTATTTCAATAATACAGTATTCACTTCTAATTTTGACATTTATGAATCGTCAAACATGGATATATATGACTGATTAACTTAGTAATTTAAAATTTTTTGAAAAAGTAGTAAAGGATCAGCCTATACATGTCCCACGCCTGGGCAACGGCCTCCTCTGTACAGCTGGTATCAGGGTATAGTCCACCACGCGGCCCCACTGCTGATTGGCGGACTTCACATATCTTCGAAATATTTCTTTTGTTATTACTTCGAAAATATTCATGCACGTGATATTTCAGCTCTTAAAATTAATAAATTCATGGGTGCCGGCACACGAACTCAGGTTGCTCGAGTATATTGAGTTAAAGGCGAGTGCCCGGACACCGAGCTACTACAATTATTTGTGACACACTATTTATTTATTCTTTTTTTTTACATTATATACCAATTAATATCTTTTGAAAAATTATGTAGTACTAGTTGTTGTTATTAACTAATTATAATAATTTGAAGCTACCGTAGAGCAGTGATAGCTCAGTGTCCGGGCGCTCGCCTTTAATTCAATATATACTCGAGCAACCTGAGTTCGATCCCCGGTGCCGGCACCAATGAAGTTTTTAAGTGCTGACTTATCACGTGCTCCGCGGTGAAGGAAAACATCGTGAGGAAACCTGCATATTTTCGAAATAAGAACAAAAAAAATATATTTCGAAAATATGTGAAGTCCGCCAATCCGCAGCGGGGCCGCGTGGTGGACTATGCCCTGATACCCTCTGTATAGAGGAGGCCTTTGCCCAGCAGTGGGACATGTATAGGCTGTTACTTTTTACTTTACTTTTTGAAGCTACCGTATTTGGCAAATGTTTTGATTTTATTACTTAATTTTTTTTAAATTTAAAACAATGTCGCGAAAATTCAAAAATAGCACTCTTTTTTATCTTAATCCTTGTAGATAGATACATAATGCGCTGTGGTTGAAGCATGATTTATGACACCTTCTATCAGTGTAACCAATGTTCCTGGACCCTAAAGTAATAAACATACAAAACAAAACGAGAACGCATCTCCGAAAACAATTTATAGTCCAATCCGCGTTGCGCGCGACAGGCGAATTCCCCGCTCCGCCACGCATCGGCTCCCACCCCACTGCACCGGTGCGTCTTCGTTGCGCTACTTCCGCCGTTTATTTTCGCCGGGGACCCGCCCGTGACCAACGACCCCTATACGCGCGGCGGACTGTACTTTGCGAACTTCAACCGCATCCGCGATAACCGCCGTCGTTCGGCATCAAAAACCCAACGGTCAAGGCCCGCCGCGGAAGTCACCGTGTTATGGTCAATTACGCGCTTTCTGTCCGCTCTCGGTAATTTCACAGTTCTTTTCGTCACTCAACAGGTATTCGATTCTTAAATTTTAAATTAGATCTTAATCTCTCTCTCTCTCTCTCGTTTAATGTGTGTAAAGGACAGATATATCTATAAAAGACGTCATAGTTTTCTATTTGAATTGATTACCAAACTAAAACATAATAGGAAAGGATTTCTGAAGATCAATACACTGTACAATTAACGCATTACCTCGTGCAATGTATAACTGCCCATTAAATAAACACCAATAACTTACCTGAGAAAAATACGGTGGTAACACTGCCCTCTGGTCGTCTAATCGGGAACATTGTACTCTTTCGAGTAGCTCGAATAATTCATGCTGTGCACGAGCGCCCCCTGAAGCTGTTGATGACCATGGCGTTGTAGCCACGTGCTGCCGCCTGGCGGTAGAAATAAAAACTTATTAGCACGTTGATCGTCTTCGTAGTACGAAACTATTCCGCTAGATGGCAGGAGTGAATTAAAAACATCAACATAAACAAAAAATGCATTTTACATTGACTAAAGAAAATATTTATTTGATTTTGTAAAACAAATGTTATAGTTTAATATAAAAATTTATAATGTATACAAACGTTTTATTATAACGTTTCATTCAAATCATGTCACAATTTCATATAGGCTTCATATAATTGAGTAGGTATATTGGGTTCATTTTCTTAAGCGAACAATATACTTAATTGTTAACGTTTATAGCAAAATACTATAAATTGATATCGATTTGTTCTAATATATTTAAAATAATCAATAATGATGCGAATTGGAAACATAAATCACCGGTATATCAACGCAGCCGTCTTTTAAAATACCATCAGTGACAGTAATGGACTCACCCTGACAATGGAACTCGTTATGGTCAAGTTAGAATAATAAGACTGAGATTGTGAGGCTTTCGCTTGTTTGCAACGTTGTAATCTATCGGACCTGGTTCAGATTCCTTTTTTCATTTTAAAGCCTTGGTAAAAGTCACTGTCAAAGTTTTTATTGTGTAGGATTTCATGCGCCGATGTTGATAAATTGAAACAGATTCTTGAAGTAAACAATTTTTAAATTTTTATTATTTTCTTTTTAAACAACGTTTGTAGGATATGATAATCCAGTGTTGTAAACGTGTTTTACTAGCTTAATTATCCTATCTGTAAGTCTTCGCCTTCATGAAGTCAATCAGTCAGTCCAATGATAGCTGTTTTTATGTAAGTAATCTTCAAAAATTTAAGACGATATTTTATGCACATGCTTTTTTTGAAAAACAATCATAATTTCAAATAAAAAATAACAACCTTTAGTCTATGTTCTTACTGTGATCCTATGCACGTATAAACCTACCCACCCAAACATACTTGGTAGATACCAAATTACGAATCAATAATTCTCTAACAAAGTATAAACACGTCTAGAACCAGTATCTTTCTCATGTACTACAAGACTAACAAGCGTCAGCGGTATCAGTTCATATTTTAGTTTAGACGTTATATTAGCCTCATGCTATCAATAAACAACGCGGCGCATTTCGAGATTGAATAATGCACTAATTAACGTCATTTCTCAGCACGAGACCGACATTCGAAATTCAAAGATTTAATTTACAACATTACATTAATAATAATGAATATTTTAAAGGGCTCTCGCGCACAACTGCGTCCGCACACTCGCGCCATCTATTGTTGGATAGTGACAACTTTTGACGGTGACCGCGGATGACAAAGGCGCGCGACGGTGATTTATAGATCAATTAACTGACCATTCCGCGACCCCTCAGCGTCGCTAACGTGATGGTTTTCCAAATTAAACCTCCCCTACTCCAAATCGCCGCTATAACCGGTCCCCGACGCCTCAATCAGAGACTGTTTGTTTTTCGGCTCGGCCTAATTTAGTATCGTAGGGCGCGCACAAAGGGCAGATGTAACGCATCGCGATTGTTGTCTTTCAATTAGGACCTCCTTTTATCGAAATGACACGGGCTTTTCGCGACTCGTTATGACATACCGGCATAATGTATGATAAACATTGATATTATGAATAAGATCCATAGCGATGTTTAAATATGGAATTATGTAAATATACCTACAATGATGTGTAAACAAACTGATACAACGAAAATATTCACCAATCTCTTGAAAAGTATATTATAATTTTTTTATTTAGACTTTTTTATCATTTTACAACAGTCTGCGTGTTATGATCTATTTACCGTTTTTAAACCATAAAATCATATTTTGGATTTCGAGATCTGTACGACATTTGATGATGTATAACTGTAGTTGGGCCACGGTCTTCGCTGTTGCACGAATGGGCAGGTCCGTCCGGGTGAGCAACTCGATCTCACAGAAGACCGGCGTGTAGTGGTAGTGTTGTTTCGTGATTGAGGTAGCTGGGGCCCACTTTAGTATAACTACGGGTCGTGCAAATGCCAATGGGGGGCGGTTATCACTTAACATCAGGTGCACCGCCAGCACGCTTGCCAACTTCTCACTTAAAAAAGTATAAGTTACTATAAATAATATTTGATACATGAATGGATAAAGCCAAAGAAGTTTTACATGATTCTTAATTACAGATAAAATGTAATAAAACTGTAAAAATTGGATTGAAAATTTATTAAAGCCAATTTTACATTTGTTGTAACGTACTTTTACTGTGGAGTGAACATTTATCCAGTGTCCCATTTTATTACGTAAACAAGAAATGGTCATGAAACAGTATTGTGTATAGTTATGAATAATTTATAGTTCCCGCAAATCGGCGGCGTTCCGCCGTTCGAGTTCACTTTATATTGCATGTCACATGTTAACAGATGCATGTTAGGGTTTCATCAAGTTTTCATGAAATTACACCTAATTAACCAAAGTGATGAGCCCTTGGTTATAGGAATGATCCAAGTTTTATATATATATATCTACAAGTAAATTCTCTTGGAGGTTCATAACCGAAATATTTTTAATGATCGATGGGGTAATAATACTTTAGTATCAGATGATATGCCATCTCATCCCAATGTTACGCGTTACGAAGTTTCATTATACGTAACTATTTTGAACCTCGTTTCTTTAGTCAGGATAGCACTGCCCGGCAATTTTCGTTATCAAAATTCCCTACTACTTAGTATAATATATAAATATATAAATATACAGCTTGTCGTTACCATCGCGACAATAAATGAACACACATATAGGGGATAACTTTTTAAAGTTATATTAAACATTTAAATTCTTTAAACATCAATATTTACAGAGTTATTAAATTTTCCAAAACAAAGAATTTTAGGACACCCTTACCGATAAAAGCGTAACGTAAAGTTCATTTGTAAAGTTGACAAAGCATATGAATGGGTTGAATGAATTTAAAAGAGACAAAACATACTGTTAGAAGGAGAGGCTTGTAATGCGACGCTGTGGCGCGAGTTGTATAGGATGTTAAAAATGTTGTTTACTTTTTACTTAATTAGTTTGTTTGAAAAATATTTTTTTTTTATTATGGATTTTGTTTAACGTTAATATTTTTTTATGATTATTAGCAAGTAGCGTTAGACGTGTGTTCATTTATTGTCGCGATGGTAACGACACGCTGTATATGAGTTGAAAGCTTTTAGCAACATGCCGTGCGTTAGCGAAATTATAGTATTATGTGAATATTATAATAATATAAAATATTTATAAGTTGATATCTTCTTACTATAAATAAACAAGATATATTAGAATAATTAAAAAAAACTTGGAGACGGAATTTGTATAAAAGAAGTGTAAAGTTTTCAATAGGTACACGTCCGCAGGCACAGTACCATTTCAGACAAGCAAAAGTGTAGTCCAAAATCATCTCTGTCTTGAGATCGTAATTGGGATAGCCTAGCCAGGCCACAGAGTACATCTTCTACCTTTCGAAACATAAGTCACACGTTCAAATCCTATTGTTGCATTATGGGTCTTAATAAAACTATGTAAAACAAGTCATAATTAGGTATCTATTTATATGTAATCTTGATTGCCAACCTTAAATAAAACAGGCAACTACTGGCGTACTTAATGCCCAAAGGCGTTCTCTACCATTCAATCCAGATCCATCCGCTCAACTCTAAGTTAAACGGTTTTGTATTCTATTGTTTCCTTGTATTGTTGTTCTTGTATTCTATTATTGACCTTGCAACGTCCTAAACACGCATTTAATACATGTGCTCCTTTACAGCAAAGCTTCGATACCTTAAAGCTAATAAGGGAGACAAAGACAAGAGGCATTGTGATATTCTAGATGTCGGAAGTTACGAGCAAAAAGACGAAATAGCGCCGAAAACACATGTAATAACGAGAGGCCGTGGCAATGAAACATGGATCCATCTGTCCGCTGTATCGAATTAATTCTCCTCTAATTATCAGCATCTGGACGCCTGTTGGGACGGTATCAGGCGATTAATTTTATTATAATTTGACTGCAGGCCGCTCAAAAGCTGTTAACGAAAACGGCGCTGTTTGCTCTCCAGTTTATTACATGTGACATAAGGCGTGGAATGCATATAATTTGATGATGGTACAAATTCCGGTACTTGTGCGCTAAAGATGATTTTAATACACATTTTTGTAAATAGCTAGTAAGTTTATAAAATAGCTTCATTTGCAATAGTGAACAGATTTATTTATAAATACCATCATCGACATCCGTCGTAAGACAGCATGAAAAGAAGATTAATAACCCAACAAAATAATTAACGACGTTAATGTAATAGGGAAGAATACACTGAAGTCGGCGGAAAACGCTAACTTTATAATTTTGTAGCCTTCCAATTCAGAAATTCTTCATCGCTTGTGTTATTAGTAATGATTGTGTTATTAGTAATGGTATCGGCATAAATGGTGAATACATCGCCCACATTCGATTTGCAACGACATACTCATCATGGTAGGAATGCTGGAGGACCTTGATACAATGCTCAAATATCTCAACAGTTTTTCCCAACAAGTTTGCGTTAAGATAACGAGACAAAGATTCGGGAAATGGACCCTATAGTTATCGGTTGTTGTTGGAAGCACA